ACATCCTTTAGGGAGTCTGTTTCACAGGGCAGTAGTTCGCAGGAAGAAGCTGTTTGAGTGGAACCATTTGAGTTGTCTGTGCACTTTCTATGATATTAGTGATAGAGCAGTGACAGACTTGCCACATCCCATCTGTGTGTGTGTGTGTGTGTGTGTGTGTGTGTGTGTCTGAGAGAGAGAGAGAGAGAGAAGTTGCAGTGTAAAAAATAATTCTTTTCCCACAAGGACTCAGAGGCACTTTTGAACTCTATCAAGACTGGAAAGTTAGTCTGGTTACCTCCTGCCCAAATATGGCAAGAGTACTCCATTTTGAGCCTGATCTGAAAAGTAAAGGATAGCATGAGGATTCAGGTACTTGCTCTAGTGGTACAGGGAGCCAATCATTTTACCTGCAACTTTATCAATGGATCATATATAGGAATTCCACTTGACATTGGGTGTGAGTTTGAGAACCTCCTTTTGAGGCTACTCAAGGCGACATGCATTCATCATGACTGGCAGTAGTTTGAAATCTGATTGGTGGTGATGGAATGTGATCAGTTTGGTTTTAGAGGCATTGAACCAGCCAGTTTTTTTCTCCCCCACTGGGAAGTTAATGTTAGATCAAAAGAGAGGTCAGATGCCAATCTCTGATTGTCAAGACTTTTAGAGGTACATCTGTATATCATCTCATCATCGTCATAAACATTTACAAATGATCTGAGTATATTCATAGGTAGAGTGGCTTTTTTGGGGTCAAGATTTTTTTAATAATTCTAGAGACTTCTCTTGCTGGAATGAGTACATTACTGAGATTGTGCTCAGTGAGACATGGGAAGTTGGGGAAGGGATGGCCTTTGTCACCTAACATTGAGTTTGAGGCAAAAATCGAGGCGAAGAGCTTTGCCTTGTGTGATGACCTCAGGGCTATTTATAATAGTGAGCAAAGTCACTTTGCCTCTGTTCATAATTTGGTTGATGATCTTCCAGAATTTGTGAGATCCAATTTGTTTATTTTCAACCTTGGCCTGGACAGATGGTATGTAGCTGTACTTTGCTTTTTCCAGGATTCTCTTACAGAAATTATGAGCTGTTCTGAAAGAAGTAAGGGCCAGACTATATCACTCCTTGTGATAGATTTTGAAGTAATGTTCTCAGTGAGCTATGGCTGCAGTGCATTTAGGGGTGAACCAGGGCTGACTATTTGGTTTTTGCTGGAATTTTTTGGAGGATATAAAAGATTCCATTCCAGAAATGATCCATTCAGAGATTAGGGCAGCATAGCTTGGTACATTTTTTTTTTTTTTTTGACATTGGGTTTGTTAGTTTTGTTCATTTTCAATTTGATTACTTTCATATTTGTTTTGGTTGGTTTAGAGATGCACATATCAATAACTGGGATTGATTTGCCTGGATATATTGCCATAACAGCACCCATCATTATGACATCGAGAGGCCCCACTGGAGACTATTGCACAGATCAGAAACTATTCACAAAATGGCAGTACATTAGACCTGAAATTATATACCTGCTGATAGGATAACCTTCTTCAAAGTTACTAGAAGATTCAGATCCTTGACTTTCAGACGGATAATACCAAAACCCCCAAAAATGTTTATCTCCAGCACCCTTAATAACAAAGAAAATAACCTAGGAAGGATTCAGGTGTGATACTCCAAGTGCATATGTCTTGTCTGGCTAGAGGTCAGGGTAACAGAACTCTTTCTTTAGTCAGAAACATTGTACCAATCAGAAACATAGGGTACCAAGGCAAGCTGGCTCTCATATGCACAAAGACTAAAAGACCCACTAGAGAAGTGGGAGGGTGACGGAGGTTGCTTATGGGTGGATGTTCATCCCCTACCCCTATTTGAGTTATTGTCAGAAGCATAGTCATTAGTCTGAAAGCATACAGAGGAAAGTTAATTATTTTATTTGAGAGGGAGAGAAAAAAGAAAAAAAATATTTAGAATTAAAATTTAATAACACCTATCACAAACACAAGGCAGGAATTGACAGTTGTTCAGAAAATTCATTAAAATCAGCTTACCAAGGGGCAGGGGAAAGATTAAGGATGGGTGTGATAGTTATAAAGTTTTAATTTAGTGTAAGTTCCAAGATCCCCTCTTTGAAAAGCATACATATATGCACACAAGTCAGTTTACCATCCCCCAAAACTTCCATTAAACATAATGAAATTGACAGTTAATATTAAATTAATGTGCATGTAAACAATACAGATACCTGTAAACATATATATATATATATATATATATATATATGGAGAGAGAGAGCTATTTTACAAAGCTAGACTTTTTCAAAAAAAAAGCTAGAAAAATAGGTTTCCCAAGACCATTAATTGTTATTACACTTTCCAACAGTGATGGTAGTTTTCTTCTTAACCTTTCTTTTGAAATAGTGCAGGATGTCAATATCCTGATTATGTCATTACTTTCTCTTTGGGTTACATGTGCTATCCATTTTAGTTGATGCTGTTGTTGAAAGTCCCCAAGTGATGTGGTTTGTGACATTTACGTACACTTCTTTGTTTGTGATTCTGTAGTGAGAGTCAATAAGTTTTCAAAAAGGATGGTCCTCACTAAGATCTACCAGCTTCATTTGCTCAAAGGCAGTTGTAACCATCAATCTGAGAAAGTGATTATATACAGTTGACAGTTTACATATTTCTGAATGAGTTTTAGGCCATGCATGACATTCATATGAAAGTTTAGATCTGACAAGGCTATTAATAACTAAAGCTTTTTAGGTTACAGTTTTGGGGAATCAAACTCATGATATAAGTGAAATTAGTTAAACAAGCTTATTCCCTCTGTGCTATGGTAGTAGTCTAATATATATATATATATATATATATATATATATATATATATATATATATATATATATATATATATATAAAAACCTCCAGACGCAAATGTTCATGTTATTGCAGGTAACCTAAGATCAAATTTGACTGTTTTTCTGTTCTTGGTGACAATTTTGCTAAGTGATTGAGGGGGGTATTTATCCCAAAAGGCATGTGTGTGAAAATAAACAAAACAACATTGTCCAGAATTTGTACTCAGCATGTCAATCCTACTTTCTACACTGATAGATACAAAATATGCACATCCCATTCATTTATTTACAGTGCAATAAATTCAATATTATTTAAGTGTAAGTAGTTTTATATAGCAATCTCTAATAGTAACTCTAACAAAAACAAGGATGGCATTATGTAAGGATTCAAATATCTGAGGTAGCAGTGACTATGTTAATACATTTCACAAAATAAAGCCCAAGTAGCTTTAAATAGAAATTTCTAATGGTACCTCTAATCAAAACAATGCCTTATTCAAATATCCAAGCTAGCAGTAAATGTGTTAAAAAGTAGCAAAACTTCTTTTTTAGTCACCCGTACCTGACATTTCGACATGTATATACTTGTATGTAAGCTGACTGCATGTATAATCTGACCCCTGAATATTTTTGCATAAATTTTAACCCATCCATAAAAAATTAACCTGCATATAGTGCAGGGGTCGGCAACTTATTCGATCCCACAGGCAGGATCGTGTTATAATGACGGGTCAAGGGCCGGACGATGGCCATTAATGAAAAATTAAGGAAAATTACATATGCAGACCCCTGTCAACCTAAATATTTAAAACCATAATGAAAATAAACATTGAGAAATCAGAAAAACAAATGAAAATCTAAAATTAAAAAAACACCTAACAAAAACTACTTTTCCTCAAGGAGCGTCAAAATACTTCAAAGTGAAAAAAATCAACCGAAGTGAAATAGATGAAATTATGATGTGTAGGTTTGAAACTGTTATTGAAAATTGTTCCACAAACGAACCACACACACACACATCAAACAAAAATGAAGCACATATACCCATACATACGAGTACAAATAGTTGCAAACATGCACTTACGTATGTACACATGTGGTATCATCCACACATTCATGTATGTATAATGTGCGTATGTTTAACTGTCTTTAGATTTCTGCTACCTCGCATGTCAGTCCCTCCCTGGCCTCTTTCACTTTATCGTTCCTTTTGCTTCTGTTATTTTTTAATGTAGCCAAGGGTCATAACAAATATGTATCCATTATTTGACATTAAACGTAGGCAATGCAACTTGGTAAAATAAGTCTCATGAAAGATAACTGGCAGATAGTCTAATTCGAAAGCCTCATCTCTCATGTTGAAAATAGTCATTGGTAATCAGGCTAGCATGCAGGTCAACATGCCTTTGCGGGCTGGTCAAAATGCCTTCACGGTAGCATCCGGCCCGTGGGCTGTAGGTTTTGACCCTTGATATAGTGCAATCACTCACCAAAAATCCATGATTATTAACCTCTTTGAAAGAATTGCCTGTGTATAGTGCGAAACCCCATTTTTTTGCCTAAAAAACTGAACAAAAAAACTTACACTATACATGAGTATATATGTTAATCAGCGGCTATCATGATTTCTCACTTTTATATTTATTCCGGAATTTGAAACACAATTTGACTTTATATATTTATAGGTCACAAAATTTCATCATTTTCAATGAGATATTCCATTGTTATGGTAACATAAGGCATTACAAGTTACTAATAAGCCTTAATGTTAAAAATAACAATATATCTATAGTAAGAAAAAACATCCTGGTCAATAATCTACTGCTTTTTATTTTGTGTATTAGCTTTCTTTAGATTTTATTTTTATTTTAAATGATATAAAAACTGAATCTTTTTTTAAGGCTTATCAATCTTTTGCAGGTTATTTGCAGAAAATATTTTTTGATTGTAAGAGTTTTTTTTTTTGAGATAATAATGATTGAGTGATACATGTCCTACTAACCTACAAATTAAACTGCAGCTTGAGGAAAAGTGACAGATTTATACTTTACCCAAGGTATTTGCACTTAAGTGAGCATAACGAACCCAACTGGAATTGAAACTTGGAGAGTCAAGTTCCAATTCTGAATCATTATACATTATACCATCTGCAGATCCAATCTTGCAGAACTTGGTATTCCAAAGAGGTCACCCATCTAGGTACTGACCAGGCTCAATGTTGCTTAACTTCAATGATTGTATAAGAACCAGTGTTTCAACATGATATGGCTATAAGCCATTTAAAGATATAAAATTAAAAATTTTTATTACATGCAAAAATAAAATTGACTATGTAGATTAAAATTCTAGATTACTCATGCATAAAATAAGAACAATGCAATTACAAGTTAACTGAAATATTGTCATAATTTTCTCGACAGTATGAGTAAAGTTGTAAATATAGAAGATGAAAGAAAAAAGGGTGAAAAATATGCTTGTGGATAATCAGTAATTTATTAATAAGCAGCCATTGCAGGTAATGATGTAAATATTTCAATGTTTATTGACTTCCTCCTCCTCAGGATGTTATAAATAAAAATTTTAGCCCTGAACAGAACAGATAAATTACACGAAACAGATAAAAAATGATGGAAGAAAAAGAATCAAATCAATGTTACAATGAGAAGATCAAAATTGCAATCATGGCTACAGTAAAGCATAAAAAGATTATTCAAAACATTTAAGGTTTGATTTGGTTTATGGCAACCTCAATGGGTCATTTAATGCTGATATGTTTTTCTTGGTAATATTTTGTTTTGTCAAAAATCTATTTTTTTCCTTCAAAAATCTATTTCTGGGAATATTTTTCCTTCAAAAATGTATTGCTGGTAGTAATTTTTTTATTCAAAAATGTACAGCTGGTAATATTTTTTTCAAAAACATATTGCTGGTAATATTTTTTTTCTTCAAAAATTTATAGCTGGTAATAATTTTTTACAAAGTATTTCTGGTATGAAAACCTATTTTTACACTTTCATAGTGTTTTGACCCCAGTTAACTATTTGCCCATAGCTGGGACCCTAACAGGTGCTACCACCCCATGTCAGGGTGGACCTGGGAACACCAGCAATTAAGAAGTGGTTCCATGCTTCTCAAAACCTCCTGATCAGAGGCCTTGCTGTTAGACATAGTTTATCATCTTACCCTGGATGGAACAATAAGGGTAGCGATATCAAAAGAGAATCAAATGTCACTTCCAACACTGAAAGAAGCAACAACAAATGAATAGTGTAACATCATTATAATTGAATGATCAAAAAGAGACAATATAAAAAAAACAAGTACAAGGCAGTGAAGACATTAAAAACAAAAAGTGAGGTGATTTTTATCATTTAGCAAACAGAATAGATAAGAACATTTTTCCTCAAAAATACACGCTGTATCTTTTTATTCTGGTGCAATGTAATCTACTAACTTTCATGGTTCAATTTGTTTGGAATCTGCTACCAGTATTTTGTAGATCTACCACTAAAGTTCTTCTGTTTAGGTTTAAATCATAATCTACTAATGGTAATTATATATTTTCTTCATAACTTGATTTATAAAATAACTCAGTAAAAACCTCACATATTTATTTTATTATAAAATTAGACATGTCATTATTTGTTATTTTTCTAAATCATATAAATTATTTTTAGTATGAATTAAAAAAATTTAAGTAAACAAATAAATTTTCATTAATTATACTTTTATCGCACAGAACTCTGAACATACATTAGAATAGCAAAAGATGCCTTTGAAAATCGAGGCAAAGTACTAAGAAACAAGAAAATTTCACAAGAAACAAAGAGTTTCTGAACTGCTATGCAATATCAATTCTGCAGTGAATGCAGGACAAGTTCCTCACAGGTGAAGAGAAGAAATGTGGTTCTTCATCAGGATGTTAAGAATATCATAGATAGAACCAGAAGAATACTTATACTCAGAATCAGAAACAGACAAGTGTAATTTCTGGAGCACAAAGTGAGGAAAGAGGGCTTAGAGAATTTGACACAGGACATATCAAAGGTGAGAAGGAAGCAACAGACAACTGACCTAACCAGCTTATGTGAATGGATAGCAGAACAAGGGAATGGAAGGGATAGTAACAAAACAAACAATACCAAGAGCTGCATGGGACAGGAGGTTGTAGAGAACTATGATTGCCCAAATCTTGAAAGGACACAGTGCATAGAAGAAGAAGTATTTCACAGTATTAAAACATTCTCACCTCAAAGACATACTCCAATTCTGACTTGTGAAATTCTGATAAAAAAGTAAACACAATTAAACTAAAGGAAAGTAGTCATTGGTCTATAGGATGGATAGTAAATGTTTGAGACTTATTCTAAGAAAAACATAACATTGACAATTTGTGGTAAAACAATCATTTACATTCAATTCTGTTAAAAATATATAATTTGATTTTTTTCACAAAGATCTGTTTTCTGACATTTATATACAGATCTATGTCAGGTCACTCTACAGGTTCTATGAATAGGTATAAAAAAAGTTTTCCTTTTGTCTTTTCTCATATATATATATATATATATATATATATATATATATATATATATATATATATATATATATAAAACATATTTACACAGCAATTATTCATCCAAACAAATTTGATTAACAAGAACCAAGAAGGTCTTTCTGCTTAATTTTATATTATATTTTTCCAATTTTTGGATAAAGGTTCTTGATAAAAACTGGAAAGTCAAAAGTACTTGAACAAAAATAACAAAATATGAAATTCATACAGTTTATCCACAACCTTGAACACAATATTCAATACCTTATCTAAAAATTGAAAAAATATAATAAAAAATTAAACAGAAAGACCTTAGTTCTTTTTAATCGAACTTGTTTTTTTCCTCAGTTCCTTCTTTAAATAATTTTATAATATTTTAAACGTAATACAGGCTAAATTTAAAACTCGTAATTATTATTTTCAATTTTATAGTAAAATTTAAAATTAAGTTAGAATGATTTCTATTTTAGTCTAACCCTAACATTAAGGCATTAATTATTATAACCAAGGTTCATTGTCAAATTTTTTGAATTTTCATATATTTGCATTTTGATTGGTCATTGCAGCTTATGTAACAGTGTTTCCCCTATTGAGGGGTGTTTGGTTGATTTGGACCTTTTAAAACACTTTATTCTACATTCAAAACCATCACTTGATAAGATACCAAAAATGTTAAAAAAAATGGCTATTTTTGTAGTGATGTTATAACATGTTTATGTTATAATTTTTGAATAGATTATATATATATATATATATATATATATATATATATATATATATAATGGACTCTCCCCTCGGTTCTGATGTATGAGGATCTGACTGCTTAATTGATTCAGTTATGAAATTTTGTGCAATAATCTTAAGTGGTACTTAAGACTCGCTAGTGATTTCCAAAGGAGGCTGCATATGGAGCAAGAGTGAGGCTTGTGGGACGAAATCACTGTTAGATTAGCTGACCTTTTAGATCTTGCTCTTGCTTCTTGAAGATGATTCAGACAAGCAGACTGAAAACTGCTGAGTCCACTAAAACACGTTGGCCTCCATTCTACCCACTCCAAGGCTAAGCACTCAAAGGGTGTTATGTGGTATATTGACCGCTGACAAGTTGCTCTTCTGCTTATCTTTGTATCTTAGTCATGGGCATCCTACATTTCTGTAGCCTGGATCTAACTGGCTGTATATTAAGATCTTGGGTATCCTGTCATCAGACATTCTAAAGACATTACCAGTCCATCGTAACTGAGACTGTATGAGAAAAGTCTCAATTCCTCCAATATTACACCTGTTAAACAGGTCTACGTTAGATATCCCATCTTGAAGGTTAACTACACAGATTGCATGCAGACAGCTTTTATGGAAAATATCTAGCTGGCATATATGATACCTGTCTGAGCCATACAAAAGAATGGCAAGGATAACAGCTCTGTAAACCCTAATTTTTGTATCCAGTCGAATACCCCGCTCAATCCACAAGTTTGTCAAAAGCAGTGGTAGCCTTTGCAATCTGATGCATGATTTCATCATCTAAAGTTCCACTGTAGTTCAGGCCTTTGTCTTCTACTTTCAATGGTCACTCTGGAAATTTGTAGACTGGTGGTTTTTGTTTCTCACCAAAGGTTGATGAAGTACATCAGTTCTCTTTATGCTAAGTGTAAGATATATATATATATATATATATATATATATATATATATATATATATATATATATTATATGATCCAGAAATGACCTGATATAAGTCAGCACATTCTACAACTGGTACTAGTACTATGTAATGCAGTACTACCTGCCATATGGCTGGGTCATCAGTCACTAAACTGGTTCCCTCACCAAGATTTTCTGGTTAGGAAAGGTGCTAGACACAAGAATTGTCAAATAAAATTTGTCGTAGGAGTCAACAGTACAATGAGAATGACTGGGTTCGATAGTTATGTATGCAACCAATGCAGTAATGAGACAACCTCAGGACATTAGACATTTTTAAAAAGTTGAAGAGCGATGAACAAACAAACACACAAAAAAGAAAAACAATGGCATGATGAGAAACAGAAAAGAATGGATTTAATGAATTTCACCAAAATAAATTTGAGAAAAATATAAGCAAGAAAAATGGATTAGCCAGCAAAAAAATATTTCAGAAAGCAGTTGTCACAAATGTAAACATCAAGAAAAGATGTAAAATATTAAAAAAATATTAGTAAAAATCATGAAAGCAAGTAAAATCACAAAGAAAAACTTTTAACTTTAGCAAAGTAATACATGAAACTCAAGGGTCATTTATGTTATATATATATATATATATTAAAATAATGAGAAAGAACAGTAAGATTTACAATCTGGTGTTCTTAGTAATTATTTTTATTCCAAAAATCAGTTGAGAATGGAACGGAGCTATGGATTTTAGATCTAATTTTATAATTAAATTTGGTAATTCTTGTGTATAGATGGGACAGTATTTTTAAAATAGAAAGTAATTATAATATATATATATATATATATATATATATATATATATATATATATATATATATATACTAACATGGGGGCTGCTAGGGATCTATGCTTGAACCTATGCTGTTTCTGATCTTCATCAATAATCTTCCCATTGGCATTAGTTCCCAATTTATGCAGATGACATAGCCATTTATTTCTTAGTAGCAACACCCAAATAATTTAACCTTGGCAACTGCTCTAGAAAAGAACCTCCAATCAGTGG